GACACTCACGACAAAAATAATCTAAGCAACGGTAATCGAAACCTATCAATCACTAATTGGAAATGTATTCCACACAATAAAACTAAAATCGAATAAGGATTAGGGTCAAATACCTTTAGGCGTCGTCTTCATTTATGGACAGCAAAAATATGTGAGCTGTCGCCTCGAAGAGCCAAGACCGACCGAAGACAAGATGACAGTTGCGATCGCCGGAAGATCTATAGATATTCCTTCTATACTTGATACATAGATACTAGGATTTATAGGTGTCACTCAGTTTAATTCGTAAATAGAAACTGATTCACCTTAAAAAAAAAACAAGAAAACTACTACACTTAATAGTGCATTTTAACTACTTATATCAATCTCTAAGAACTAATGCAATATTTCCAAATAAATTAATTCAAAAAAATATTTGTGTGGAACCTTGGTTAACACATGGTGTATTCATGGGTGTAGTTAAATAATAATAAAAATCGGTAATCCTTGATACATGCAAATTTCTTAACATCTCTGTCATGTCCCACCTTTCTAAATAATACAATAGATTAAATTAGAAGAGGAGTTATTAATAGTCTTCGATCCTGTTAAATAAAANCCTAACCGATGACGCGATTATAAAAAAACTTGGTTAAAGAGATTAGAACGAAGGCAAACAGATATCACTTGGAAAGAATGTTATGGTTGTAATTAGCAATGATTTTTAAAAGTGGAGAAATAAAGTGCAGAATTTAGATATTTTCGAAAGAAAACACTGTCACAAATTTCTCAATCTTTGGACAGAAGATTAATAAAAGTTCATTCCTTTGCCTTATCATGAAGCATCTACTGGAATATTACTCATTATTACTTTTTATACTCTTATCTTCCTTAATAACAGAAAATTTAATTGAAAAATAAACAGCACATTTTTCCCAAATAAAACGAATAAAGTCTTTCTTTTGCCTGCATTTTAAACTATGATAATCTTTCTCCATCATAAATCGTATAAAAAATTGCAATGTACAGTACAGAACGTAAAAATACCCACTACCCCATTAGACAATTGCTCAAAAAGATGTGAAAAACGCTCATTTACATTAACAGTGTTAAGTGTTGTAAAATTATAATTATCTTCATAGACTGCTTATGTACCAAATAAGTTTAAATAGATTATAAAACCTAAAAATTAAGTTGCTTGCAAATTTCGACTCACACTGTAACATTTCTATTTTTATCTAGACTACAGCGCACTCATTTAATTTGGCTGGAATTTGAATTTAAAATATTACATGGTTTTAATAAACTGTGCGTCCTTCATATAGGCAACCCAATCTACTGCAAGGCATTCTCATTTCTCATCATCAGACCAACAGAAACAGTTCTACTTCATTAAAGTGCCCGTTCTCAAAAAAACGGATTAAAATATTCACTAGTAAGTTTTAACCACTACTATTTACCACGTTTTAGTATTTTCAGCTCGTTTAATAAGGAAGAAATTAAAATCTGACAAACGATTGAAAAATATGTACATATATAAATATATAAAACCTGTAACTTTTTTTGCTTTCAAAAGGAATAGAAAAGGGTTCCCTTACAAAAAATCTGATTACGCATTTTGTCTTCGTCCTCTTCACACAAAATCGTCAAAATCTGACAGACGAATTTTGAATAATAGGCAAGTTATAACACCTTCAATAGTTACAACTAAAAATTGAAGTTTAAGATTGAAAACGAAGGGGAACCCTTATAAAAATCTAATTTTCCTCATTTTGTCCGACAAAATGGTCAAAATCTGACAAACTAATTTTGAATAACATTCAAATTATAACACCTGTAATATTTGCTACCAGAAATTGCAGTTTTAGATTCAAAAGAAAGGTCATTCAATAATTGCTTTTTGGATGCATTTTTAGACTTCAAAATTTTTAAAGGTTCTAAGATGTTTAATTTGAAACGTTTTATAGCTTCATGTAATAATTATAGGCTTTAAATAGTTGGGAAATGGTTTTTTGAACCTAAAAATTATTTGAAAAATTTGAATTAAATCTTCTAGGGTTAAAAAACCGAAACTACACATTAAAAAGGAATTGTAAAGCAATGTCCTACATGGCTTTAAAAGGAACATTTCAACACATCATAGGCTTATGCTGTGTACCTCTATTAGATGTATATTTTGAAATAGAGAACAAACTATTAACAAATTCGCTCTAACTGAAGATCAAAAATTGCTAATTATTTTCATTTTGCAGGCTAATTTATACAACTAAAATTGTTAGCGGCTGCTTAGATAGTAAATAAGTTTCTTGGGGACAATCACATAGAAATTTAAGCATTCTATGTGAAAGTCCTTAAACTGATGAAATTATCAATATTCAATAATCAGGCCAAGAACATTCATTTTGCATGTTAAAATTTCTTTATTTAAAACTGACTATTTTGTTAACGATAATACTAGTTTTTGCAATTAATTCTAGTTATTTATTCAGGCTTATTGAGACCAGAGCTTGAAATGAAGAGTTCTTGTAAAATTAATAGCTTTAGCAGTTATTTCGTAGTGTCATTTGTCGGTTTTCATTAAATAAATATGTAAATCATAAAATTAACAACAAAATGCGGTTAATTGTCTCTCACTTTATGAAAAAGTTTCAAACTGTTTGTCAAACCTCATCATTGTTAATAACTTCATAAGGAATTTATTACAAAATAAATATTGAAAACTAAAAGCAATAGTCGTATACGTAAAGCTATTCAACAAAATTACACGCTCATATATTGTATGAATATAGGTACTCATGTAGAATTAAAGGTAATTTTTTACATTAGTTGACATTGGAATTGAGACATGAAGTTTAGTCAGGTAGGTAGTACTCACCAAGTGAAGTAGTGTAGTAGTATTTACTAGAATTTTGTTTATTATTTGTTTAAAAATGAATGTGAGTGAGATACAGGCCCTTAAAGTTTTCTTAATCGGAGGAAATACCGGTAGGTACGGCCCTGGCTTCAGCCTTCCGTCAGCTGTTCCCGCCAAACATCGTTTGTCCTAAAACATATCTTCCTAACATTATTCTAATGTATCAGCCCGCCTTCGGCGGGCAGGGGCATTAAACAAACTCGAGTCTGTCATACATCTACCTAACTAAACAATGACGTCATCAATGCATATTTGGCGAGAACAGCTGACGAAGGGCTGCAGCCAGGGCCGTACCAATCGAAATTTCCTCCGATTACATAACTTTAGAAGCCTGTATCTCGAGCTACATTGGTTTCCGCACGGAATTAATGCTACCACACGATTCTACTTGGTCAGTACTACCTACCTGACTAAACTTCATGTCTCAATTCCAATGTCAACTAATGTAAAAAATTACCGAATTAAATAGTGATAATGGTTTTAATGTTTGCTGGTAATGATTTTGTCAGTTTGCCAGGATAAATTTTAATGTCTTATCTATAATGTATTATTGCAATACTTAGCTTGTAAATTGTTACATATATTATTTTATCTTAAACCGAATTTCATTATTATTGCCACTTACTTTTAATTATGTTAACTCCTAGTGCACTCAAGACATTGTCAATTCATTCTTGTAAATCTTTCCATCAGCAAAAGATATCACCTTATCACGTTATCTGTTAAGTTAAATAAAGGCACTAGCATACTTCTTTCAGGTACTTCTACTTTGTGGAGTGAGAGAGGACTGCTCTTTGTGCAATTCGTGACGTTAGTGTAGTCCCTATAGGAAAGAAAGACGCAATATTATAAAGGAAAGTAAAACGTAAATGTATCTTCAATTGCTTTCTAACTAACCTGTTTATTAAAAAGGGGTTAACAATAACAAATTAACGACACCACTCAATAAATAAGACATAAGATAACCACAATTGCAAACTTATGGAACACTCACAATAAAAAACAAATGTCACAAATGTGAACTGTCGCCATAGACAAATCTGTCACTATCTTTAATCTATGCCATAGATATTAGATACACAAAGGGTATTCTATGTTTTATGACATAGATTGTAATAAACATCATAGATAAAATAATCATATAATAATGCTTACATCATAGATATTCAAAGGGTGTATTCCAGCGAGGTATACAGAAAGTGATGCGAGCAACTTTGACAATCAATGCATACTACAATTCCACCTTGAGCTTACTCGATTTGTGTCGTACATCACGAAGAATCGCAATATACTAGATAAAATATCTGCTTCTTGATAAACGTGGACTTTAGTCGAACTTTCTTGCTAGAGAGCTTTCAACAAAATAATAAGCATAGCAATAGTTACTCTCGTCTTTATTATGTCAAAAACAACATGTAAGTGTGTGTGTGTGTGTGTTTGCATCATATGTTTGCATGCGTGGAATATCTGTACACGATAAATTTACAAATACACAAAAATATTTTTATATAATATATATATATGTATATATATACACAAAACAATACACAATCTTTGGCTAAATTATATACAAAAATTCAACATATTAAAGTATACTACCTATCAACTTAAAAAAAAATAGTACACCTCAACAGAATAACTATAACATCTTAGTTGTCTACACTGCGGGGTACAAAAGGTACAAATACTACAATCATTACACGTTCTTCGAGATTGTGCTCATACGATTATTACTAATAATAATAATAATAATAATTTACTATCATTTACCAATAAGTTACCATTATTCACAGTCTGCATATTGAATTACATTATCGACGGAAGTTTACAAGAATAGCAGCGAAATATCCACGACGTACAATGAACACAGCATTCCATTCTATCACTGACATGATAAAGAGGCGAGAAATTAAAGTAAATACTTTGTAAATAATTATTACAAATAGTTATAATTTTTTTATTGCTAATTTTGCTTGTTATCGGGCAGATTTACGTGGCAAACACTTTGAAGGTGAGCAAACATTGAAAAAGTTCATAAAAAAAGTAAATTTTAATTTTACTTACGGGATTAATTAAACGTTTTCAATTATTTCTATTAATTTTACATAATAACTCGCCTCTTTCAAAATTAAAATTCAAAGCTTTATAGCATCACACTTACTTTTTGAAAAAAAAAACATAAATGGTACCGATAACAAATACGATACATTATGAAGTGCAACACATTCATCTATGCTACTTATAGACTACTCTTTATTAAGTGCACAGCGTCATAGGTTTACATTTTACGTATATGTATTACATTATTTAATTTATTTGCAAGAAGTTGTTCAATAAATAACAATATAAATTTGTACAACTACGTAAGTAGCTTAAACGAAAGAACTAAATATTTAATTTTCATTTGTACTTAAAGAGAATTCACTACCAACGGTTATAATATAATATAAACATTTTAACGAAATATTTGCTATTGCACGGAAATTATATTATTTATTTACAATCGGTACTTCAGAGGACGAGGGCGATTGTTTAAAACCATATTCCGCTCAGACAACTTTCTATTACTGTTACTGATATCAGTATGAGTATCAAATAGATAAAAAAATATTAGATTAGTATTTAATTTTTGCAGTTTTAGGATTGAAAGCAATTTTTTTAAGTTACTTTTGAGGTAAAAAGAAGTTAATTTCTTAGAAACCAACCTAAAGAAATAATGAGATTTTTTTTAAGACGGATTAACAAAAATGAGAAAATTTACTAACAATTTTCTTTATCATATTCGAAAAACTTTTTTTCCTCAATTCCAACTTTTGTAATAAACCGATAGCAATGATGAAAAAGAAGACATACCGTTCCTCAGACTGTTTAGTATTAAATTAGTTATTTACCTATGAAGAGCTTCCCGTCTCAGATAACGCTGGATGGTAGTTTTTCGAAGGGCGCTGGCGCATGTGATCCTCGTCTGCGAGGCAACGTACCGCTTCCAGGTACATGAGATACTTCCGGACAGCCGTTACTGAGTAGAAGCTCAATAAGGCCTCTTATCGTGGACGTCGAAATGTCGGCGTTCACGCCATTTCCGGTTTGCGATTTGGCCACTGCAACACTTGCTGCAGCGTTGGCGTAAGCCAAACATGTACGACCATCTTGATCGACAGCTTTTACATTTGCGTTATTCTTAAAGAAAAAAAAAGGGAGTTGTACACAATTGAAGAAAAACTTATAATTAATTATTGTATAAAAATCAGAATTTGCTAAAGAGACACCAAACAGAAGTAAAAGGATGCAGAGGAAGTTATATATTAGATCACTGTTATATAAAGTTTTGTATCTTGAGAAAAGCAAAAAAAAATACACAATAATCTGTGGTTTCTCCCGACAAATTATTATTGGTTATTTGATTGATTACAAACTGCAAAATAAATGTTTCAAATTTATTCTTTATCACAAAACAAATAAGTTCTTATTCCATCTAAAAAAGGCACCGTGTAGTGTTGTATTACGTTAACAACAATAATCTTATAGATATATTTACCTATTATTAATAGTAACACTCACCCATATAAGCAGTTGTACCACAGCCAAATTTCCCATCGCACATGCGAGGTGGAGGGGCGTCCGTGAGTCCCTGGGTGCCACAGTGGCGTTGACGACGTCACTGGTACTGGCTTGTGCCAGTACGAGGACGATGGATTTCATATTCGAAGCGCAAACTGCGTCTACCAATTGCTGACCTAGCGGCATCGTATTGCTAATTGCAGGCAGAAATTCCTTGTTTTCGTACTTGGCCCTTATCCACACTTCCTTCTCTTCCCTGCTGGATGTTGGCGTCGGTTTCGTGCGTCCTTGCGTCCGACATTCCCACACGGAATTTGCCAATGTGTTACCGATAGCCAACATCACGCTCAGGTGACCAGCACTGAAAAGAAAAACAGAACATTAAGAATTTAAATAAAAAAAACTAATGAACTTCAAAGTAAAATTACTGCAAAAATTATTGATACTCATTATCATAAATTTGGTAATTATTTACATTTTAAGTTTTTTGACATGCCAGACATCCTGGTAACGTTATGTAAAATAATTGTAGTTAATATAAAATTGAAAACTACTTACGGCCATTCGTCCAGATCTAACGATCGAACCCTAGAAATATGTGACCCGAGATTCCTGTGAATTCCAGAACATTCTATACACATAAGTACTCCTAAATTTAAGCTAGCCCAATCCGGATCTGAAATAAATAGGTACTATGGTAACAACAATAACAATATTATATTTATATACAGTATACAATCTTGTGCAACGTTCCTATTAATAGATGTCAAAATAAAAAACCACTTACTTGGTGCTCCACAATCAACGCAGAAGTCGTTTCCTGGTACCCTGCTCCTTATTGACTGAATTGTTGCAGCTTCCATTGGGTTGTTCTGTTTCTTCGCCTTCGAAGATTCGTTCAGTTGCAGGGAATTTAAAATTTGTTGTTCAATAGCAGCTACCCAGTCGTCCCTTTCATCTGAACTTAAAGCTTCGAAATGCCACTGTTTATTATCCAATGAAACAATGTAAAATTCATAACCATCTGAGTCTGAAACAATTTTTTAATGGATTGGAAAATGCCACATTGACGCCCATTTTCTTCTATCTCCTTACCGTCAACTTCAGAATTTTTCATACCACTACTTTTCATTCTTCTGTGCCTCTTTTTTACATTCGGCGTTTCGGTTTTCAAGTTTTCGGCGTTGAGGAAGGAATTGCTGCTAGATAAGACCATTCCTTCATCGCCGCTGGCTTGAGCATATTTTGAGGATGCGTCTCTTCCAGATTCAAAACCTACAAAGCAAATTTAAATAAAAATAAGTAGAAATTCTTGGAGAATATACACATTTGTTCACGATTTATATGCACGTTACATATATTCATGTTTCATACATTGTCTTAGCTACATGTTCTTTCCATAAGTCTATTACATTAAGAAAATTACTTACCTCCTGTGGTAAGAGTTAGTCCTCCAATACCATCGTTAATACTGTAACTGCCGTTCGTACCAACGACAGTGATTATTGACTTAGAACCTCTCGGTTTCTGACCAGGTACTTTCACAGTAACGTATTGAAGGGATATTTCCTTTCCATGCACGTCGTCCATATAATCCTAATGAGAAATGAAAAAAAAAAAAAAAAATAAAATAAAAACGCCCAAATGTTATATCTAAATAGCAACATAGCTATTTCAAAATATGTAGTCGGAAATTAGGATTTTTTGGATGTGTGTTATTTCATCTGATTTATTAGTTAATTAAAAATATTGTAGCGAGCACAAATGTGTTTGTGTGTTCGGGCACACGTGTGTGTGAACGGATTATCGATTCGCCGACTAGTGGCGGGCGCCTTTCTTCATGTGTGCCGTATTTGTAAATGTGTGTGTCGTATCTCCGTTCTGGGAAAACAGTAAAAACAGTTCAAAGAAAAAAGAATCTATCCGGATGTTTCGAGAAGGCTCCCGAAAGTAAACAAAAGAGTATTTAAAGGAAGAGACGATCGCCGAAAAAGGAGAAATAAATTGACCGTTGCAGAAGTGAATCGAGAAGTAAATTGACAGTGACAGCAGTGAAATAAATAGGGCAGTGAATAATGTTTTTAAGTTCTTTAATAAATAATTAGTGTAAATAAATAGTTTTTGTTGTTATCAATCTTCGAAGTTAATTTTATTAAACCCACGAACAATTGACAGCACGGTGTATAGCCAGCTTCTTCTTAGTTGTATCAAGGGTTTCTTCTACTAGTCGTCGATGTTGCTGGAGAACAGCTTTCTCGCTCAGGCTCTAGGGTGTCGTATCCAAGGGTTACCATGTGTATGGGTTCCATTGTTAGGTCATGGATGGGTTCAGCGTCTTCTTGGCAGCAGTCAAGCGGTATATCTGGTAATGTGACGTTGAGGGTGATATTGGAAATTTTGTCCTGTTGACCAGAAATTTTCAATCCATTGTTGAGGAAACCAACACATTTTGGCTCTAACTAAATGAAACATGTTGTTATTAACTGATGTTTAGACATGCTTTGTCCGGGGCATTTGGTAGTTATGCTTCCATTAATTGTCAAATAGAACAACCATAGATTGTCGTCTACCTTCTGTAACAACTCTTCCTGCAATTGGAGCTTTATGATTTCACATGACTTGTGTAGCGTTGTTGAACCAAAAGCTTGGACTTCGCATTGATTCGAATTTGATCGTTCCTGGATCGTTAGGTCCTCGCAAATCCATAAATTGCCGATGAATCCACATTGACCCAGTTGGGAGATTGCTATTCATGTGTTACCCTTTTGTTCAATAGCCATATATATGTTTATGGGGAGAACGGTTTTATAAAGTTTGGTGTAGGGATCGAATACAGGATAAGGGAAAATCTCATAGAGGTGAAATAGGCTTGGTTCTACCAGCGGGACTTTTAAAATTACAATTACTTTATTTTTATTAATATAGACTGTCGGCTTTATAATTGCAAAGTGNAAACCCACGAATATTACAATATGTTAAAAATTTTATTTCATTAATTCTGCCTTTTATATTCTTTAATTTGATATTCGAAATCCTTGTTTTTCTTGGCGCATCGAAAAATTAAAGCTAGGATGGTACTAAGGAAAACTTACATGAAGACTTGGATGATAGGTCAATCGTCCGTCGTCGCAAAGAGTCACATATTTCTTTTTCCACTCTTTATTCAAAGGTTTATTGCTTCTTTTATACAAGTATCCCTGTTTTATTGGTATGGCCCTGCCACTTCCAATATCACCCCCGTTTTTCAACTTGTCGTCACCTTTCTTCGAGGGCGTAAACAGGTTCGACCTCCTTCGTGTTTTCCGCGTAGTTGTAGGAGTTGAACTGGGGGTAGGCAGATCTTTTCCATCCTTTGGGATTATTTGGGACGTCTGCACATTATCGATGGGCTGCTGGGGCGCCGTGAATTTTGCCACGTTGTTATTTTCGTGGCTGCCCAGTGTCGAAGAGGACGAGCTCCACTTTTCGTCGTAATGTCGAAAGATGGGATCGTGTTTGTCGGTTGATTGTCGGTGGAGGTGTTGCGTCGATGCTGAGAGGGTGTGTGACTAACAGGGAGTAAAAGCAGAAAATGTTAGTTGTTCCCAAAATTATTATGGGATACAATAACGACAGCAGTGAAATTGACATTGTCAGTCAAAAAATAAAAATTTATCTAATGTAAAATATAATTAAGTGGTCAAAGTCTGTGTTCAATCTTTTTCTACCACTAAGAAAGTGGAAAACACATTTAGAGATTTTGGAAAGTATAACAAATAATTATTACATTTGTGTAAAACTAAACAGGTAAAATTATTTTATCAAAAAATCAAAAATAGAATAAATAATTAAAATAATAATTCAATTTCAAAAGCAGCATACAATAATGATGATAACCAACAATAATGATGATAACCAACAATAAATAACGGAATATTTTGGGAAGATGATGCTATTTCCCATTACCTGTGTAATTTAATTGTTTCGTACCTTGTGGGAAATACTATGATTATGACTAGGCGATGACGCGTGATTATTGACGGAATGTTGAGAGGAAGGTGCAAATCCATTGGTGCCACTGGGCGGTAAGTGATGCCTCGGTATCGTAACAGTACCGAAATGATTATTGGGCGTTGATGGTCTTGAGTTGGTCGGTGTGGGACACCCAGCTGACTGTGTGAGTCTCTGTTGAACGATTTTTTGACACGCTGCAAGAAGAAAAGCTTTGTACTGGAATACTTCATTATTTCGTTGAAGATCGTTGAAATTAAATATGTTATTTTTGGACTTAGAAATAGCTTTCAATAAAATGGAGGCGGTATTGACAAAACAGTATTGTATGAAAATAAATAAAAGTAAATTATAAAGTGCTACCGGCGAATGATAAGGATACCGTGGATAAAGAAGGTTATAAATGAAGAGGTATTAGAAACAATAGGTGAACTCCATGGATGTCAACAACAAATAGGCGAGGCAGGTTGGTAGGACACCATCTCAGGCATGAAGGTTTAGTCAGGGACATATTAGAGGCAGAAACAGGAGTGAAGACGTAAGAGGCACCTATTAAGGTAATTTTTGCTTTGGCTAGCACCAACTCTAATAATTGGTTATATTATTAATTGTAAATGTAATGTAATACACTTTGCTTTAAAGTGATCAAAATATTATTTTTTATTATTTTTAGTTTAAGTTTGTACATGTCGTATAGTCTAGAAGTAAATTTTGTTTTTTTTAATTAACTTTATTATGATATACTTATGCATTATAAGTCCTTTTATAATAAAAGGCTTTATTTTTTCTTTTTATGTACGCTGGCGTTAGTTAGAGAACTTTGACATTTTTTTACAGACTTACACACATGGGCGTCTAACACGAATTCACTTAGTGACTAGAACTTTTGAAAACCGTCACTGCCTGTTAACTTTTTTTTTAAGCATTCTTCTAGTGTTAATATGCTTTGAGCTGAGCAGGGCTTTACAAACAAAAAAAAAGAGAAACCTATTGTTCTACTTATGGATATCGCGTATCAGAAAGGAACTGCTTTCGTTTCTTTTTAACGAGAAAATTCCATTAGGTTCCTATCCATTCCATTTCCACGCGCGGACAAAGTTGATGAGATTCATTTCATTGCTTTCAGCAGCTTTGAGGCTTTCGTAATGTTTCAGAGGTACATGTAATCTCACACAAACGCATGCCTTCACAAACACTACTCTATAAGTACTCGTAGTGTTCCACATGCACAATAGAACTGCTACTTCCTTAAACCTAGGCACCGTATGTACGTACCTACGTCCAGAGATGTGATTTGAAACCCTTGCATTTAAAATGTAAACACAAAATAAAAAATACCTATTTTTATCTTGCATTTAAATACGTTTTTGAGAAAAGCATTTTGAATTTTATTTAAAATACAAGGTCACGAGTAGTAGACTCATAGTCAGATGAACACAATAAATTTTGGCGTTCCTCAAGGGACTATTCTAGGTCTTTTGCTCTTTATACTACAGTGGATTTCATTTATTATGACCTCGGTTATAGCGACCATTTTACTATAGCGACGTTAAATCTTAAAAGTTCCTTAAATTTAAAGCATACTTTAGTACAAAATTCATGTGGCTGTAGCGACTTCCGATGTAACGCCGAGTTCGGGTGTAGCGACTGTTTTTTAATGAATCGTTTGTAAGAAATCCGTAGTAATCCTATGCAGATATAGCGACCGGAGTCGGGCGCCAAAAACACAAAAAGCTTTCTTATCTTTTGATTACATCCACACAGATAGTCAGCAAGTGTAGTGACCTTTACCGTTTCTAATAGCCAGGTAGATAGATAAGGTGTGCGTTAAAATGGTTCAGTTACAGAGTGATATTTTGAGTAGCAACTGTGTTTAGTAAACTTTTGAATAAGTATTACTACTAGATGCACATTCACTTTTAAAAAAAGGCGGAAATCGTTTCAAAATTGAACAATGGTGAAGACTATACATATGTATCTGTATCTCTTTACGTTTGCCTGTAACGAATTCCGGATATAACGACGAAATTGTTGTGGTCCCTTCGTTGTCGTTACACCCGGAATTTACTGTACCTATATGTTAATGATTTACTAATAATAAGTTATATCTTACGCTGAAGATATTACGACCATTACTACTGATAATACTTGGAATGTTTATAAACAAAAGAAACATAAAGCACGTTTTAATTTAGTCCAATTGGGTACGAACGCAATTTTATTAATGATTCACTAATATACAGTTAAAATGAACACGATAATTTTAATGGACAGCATTTACAAATTAGGATAAACAGAAAGTGCCGTTTCTCGAAGTTAACCTCAATTTTAATCTGATAGAAAAGATTGAAAAAGTGGGTACGAACACGTCAGCGGTAATTTTCTGTTAAAGTTAAAGTCATACACATGAACACTTTCCTTGAAGGTACTTGACTCTTATACGACCTGCCATTAAATTTTATCTAATACGATAGTACCTAATTGAACACGAAGAAAAGTGTGTCGAAGGAATCTTACTTTCTAATAACAATACAAAAAAAGTCTTCAGAGATAATACGAAATCAACGACAACTACTTATTTTAACAAAGACAATTAAGATTCTTGTTATTACAAATTAATCATCAAATGTTAATCGTGATTTTGAGCCTATTGGCTCTCATCAGCACATCACAGCTGGATTCACCAATCAAACGAAAACTGCTAAAGCTGAACAAGCAATAAAATAGTAAGAATGACGTAGAAAGTAGCCATTTGTATATGTTACCGGAAAAGTATGAAATCTAGGAATTGTATACACTTCCTAGGAATTATATACAATTCCGAGGCTATTTAGGAAATCTACAAAATATTGTTTCAAAGAGATACTCACCATGCAGAAACATTTCCGTCTTTTCTACGTTCAACTGAAATTTATTTTCTTTTACAACCTATTGCATATTATCACGGACGCTTTTACAAGAGGAAAATTGTCTGAGTGAGGTTTTCATGATTTAGGTGATGAATAGGAAGGTATCTAATGATTTTTACAAATATAATCTACCTATGAAATTCTCTCATGTTGCTAGAATAACATTAAAAATAATAAGTTGTTATCATAAAACTAAAAAGAGTATATAGAGACGTTAACATTTTCATGTGCTATTTTATTCACTTGTAAATTAATAAAAAAATACAACGTGTAATTATACAACACGCTACTGATGTGAAACTTCTTCAAACATACCGGGATAGGGGTTAAGGAATTGGTTTAATGGTATTATTTGTACAGCATGAATTTAAATTTAACACTATATATATTTAACATTGTAGTAGAGAGACAAACAGTTTGTAGGAAAAGGGTAATTACAATATTATATTAATCAACTTGTATCTGTTCCTAGTCCCTACATTTGCTACTATTTTAATGAAATTCTACAATTGTACAAGTTTGTTCTACGGTTTTCTCTGAGTGTATAGCTCTTACAACTATCGGCACTATTTTCTTTAAAAGACATGATAAGCTCGCGTGCATGCTTAAAAAAATAAAAAAAAAACATAAACATCAGTTTAAATGAGCAAGACCATGATTTAACAGGCAAGACCAAGGTCAAGACCGAACAGGCAAAACCAAGACAAGTCTTGGTGTTGCTTTGCCCATCGCTAATTTTTACGTAGTTCTACTTTTTGGTTGGTATCAATAAATAATTGTTTATTAAAACAGTTACCAACTTGATTGATGAATATAACCAAATTAAGAAAGATATGGGGATCCGGTGAAGCAGGCAGTAAACTACATTCATCGTTTTAGGAAAAACAAACGTTACGGTCAAGGCTGTGCTTGTGCTTCCTTTTATGGAGAACATTTTTCATTTACAACCGGCAAATTATTTTCCACAGTTTCGACATTCGTTTCTTTTATAGGTACTACAACGTACTGTTCCACTCAAAAAAAGTAGACGTAAAATAATACACATACGTATATGTATTCCGTTTCACGCAGTAGTACCTTATCAATATAAACAAATTAACAGTGAAACTGCATAGAAACAATGACTTTTTCTACACTTGTTTTATTAAAAGCGAAAAGAAAAGTAAATATGTACCTAATAAAAAAATATGGCTTTTCGATAAAAATAATAAATCAACCTATTGAAAAATATTGAATTAAAAATTAACCTACGCATAAAAAATTTACATAAATCATTATTTAATTCTAAAAAGTTCTTCCTTTAAGTTTAATCAAAAACAATTTCAGAAAACAATTTAGAACGTATCAATAAATTTGGTACATTTTGATTGAGTTCAGTAGTAGTAATGAGTAAAATTGGTCGTGGACTTACAGAGTATGAGTGACTTTATTCAAGATTAAGTAGGAGTACTATTTCAACATATTCTGCGCATTATTTTCTGTTATTTTATTAATTAATTAATCAATTACGGTAATCAGCTTTATACAACTAATAATGTAACGATTTCGATGAAATTTACAATACAAGGGTTTACAAGGGCGAAAAATAGATTTAACTAGGTCTTATTTTAGGAAAATTCTTTTTCCCCGTGTTTTCACTAACAAAGCAACAAACACTTGTCAAAGCAACAAACACTTGTCAATAGCTCAAAGGCTAGAGCGTTATATCCACCATGTTAGAGTGCGGGGTTCGAATTCTTTAATGTGATTTATTTATTTTTTAAACGCTAACCACCAAGAACCTTTTATTTTATTTGGTTGTGTGAGTATCATGTAGGGTTGGCTACGCGGTAAATCTTATTCGACAAGTCGACATCGTTATGGATCTTGCTGTATATTTTTGAATTCCAATAATGATAGCAATAAACTACAGATGGCGTTTAGCTTTGTTTGTCGTAATTCAACAGGTGTACTAATTTTTATTTCACACAATATTGCCGCTTATACAACTATATGACACCATTTTTCTTGTTTAATTTCATGATATACAGTGGAATTCGTTTATTATGACTCCGCCTACATTGACGAACCTCTTAATATGAAGTAATTGCAGTGTTAAGTTTGGTTTTCATATTAAATTCTCTATAGGAAAGTTTGGATATAATGACTCCGTTTAAAATGACTTATCGTTTATTATGACTGATTCTCAAGAAATCAATATCCGGCTATAGTGACCCAAATGATTAATCGCTCATTTTTTTAACCCTTCTTATGTATATTGATATTACAATTCATCGTTCTTTTTCTTTTTCTGTTAATAAATATACATAATTTGTAGTTTTTCTCTTTATTAAACTAAATAACTAACCAAAATAGAAAGTTGTTTATTTTTTAAAACTATGCTTTGTATGACGCTCGCTTAGTACGACGTGTTTGCCATTTCCTTTCGATGTCATTATAAGCGGATTCTACTGTACTTACAAGTACTTAACAGCAACATAAAAAAACAACGTACTACGAAATCTAATGCCGCCTTGATGGTTCATTTTTACTTTTTTTTTGGTACGGAGCTCTACAAAAATTAAGTGGTCTAACATCTACGTTAGTTTTAAAACATCGTGTATACAATACTTTTTAATTATAAGAGCCTGTTAATTTTAAATGAACGAGTTAGTACTCGCTATATACGCCGGTAAATAACTACGTGTGAAGACATTAATTTTACTGCATCGTCTGTCTCTGTTTTATACGTATCAAGCTCAGGATTCCGAGTGACCGTGGAACGGCCGCAATCGAACATAATAATAAATAGTTGAGAATACTGAGCTGTACCGGCACATAACCTTATAAATATTTCCCGCCCACATTTTCCTTTTAAGGTCAAAATAAAACAAAAGCTCGAAATGCCGGACGGCAACATAGTCAGTCCGTCTGTCCGTTATTTCATTGCATAACGCACTATACATCAGCTTCATATATACAGTATGTAACAAGATTTTAAAACATTTATTCGCACAGTTTTCGGGCTTCTAAAAACCGAACATTAGTACCAGTTAAATCTAACCTAACCTAGCCCATCTCCAACCTAGTCTGGGTCATTGTTTTTGTAGTTGTATATTACTACAACAAAAGAAAATACGTACATGGCTCCGACAGCATATTTATGACATTATACCTTCCGAATAATACAAGTATCTCCTTTTATAATTAGTGCAGAAGTTTAAGATAGACATTACCCGTCGTGGCTTCACCCGCAGTACATATACTATTTAATAACTGTTTTTAACTCAAGAACTACGATTGTGATGAAAAATGGAAGAGCGTGAGTCATTCTCAGAACTTGGATATCTCAGCCATATTTGAAATGGTAGTCGTGGCTTCACCCGCGGTATATGTGGTAAACAACAAACAACTCAGATGAAAAATCGAAGGACATGCGTCATTCTCAGAAATTTGACATCTTCTGAATGACACCTTACCCAACTATCCTTGAGATAGACGTTACCCGAAGTAACAATTTAATAATGTTTATAACTCAAGAACTATGATTCTGATGAAAAATAGAAGAAAACATACATTTGTCACTTTAGAATTCTTACATCTTTGGAATAGATCTTATATATATATCTTATATCTTTGAGATAGACTTTACCACATTACCCGACATGACTACACCCGCAGTATATGAGCTATTCTATAACTCTTATAACTCAAGAACTACAATTGTGATGAAAAATAGAATGAGTCATTCTCATAATTGAGATAGTAGTTACCCGTCGTGGCTTTGCCCACAGTGCATGTGATAACTATTTAATAAAGCTTAAAACTCAAGAACTAAGATTCTGATGAAAAATCGAAGAACAAGCGTAATTTTCAAAAATTTGAAATCTTCTGAATGGCGCCTAACCCGGCTATCTTTGAGTTAGACATTACCCGACGTGGCTTCACCCACAGTATATGTAATAACAATTTAATAACGTGAGTCACTTTCAAAATTTCTATATCATTTGAATGACTCTTCGACTATACTTATTTGGGATAGCAGTTACCCGTCGTGGCTTCGCCCACAGTGCATGTGATAACAATTTAGTAAGGCTTATAACTCAAGAACTACGATTCTGATAACAAAATAAAGAAGATGAGTCACATTCAAATTTTCGATATCTTTTTAGTGACACTTCCACCATCTATATCTATTTGAATTAACAGTTACCCGTCGTGGCTTCGCTAGCAGCACAACTGACAATCTCATTGTCCAAGATTCCAGAGCCGGCAGACATTACTTACCCATTTTCTGAGTTACAAAATGGGTGTAATAGAGTAATGTTTGTAGGAACATACTTTGAACGTATGCACGCCTACTATCTTGGGCCGACTTAATTAATTAACTTAAGATAATTTGAACTTACATAATACTCTACAATGAGAAACGTGGACATTACCGAAAACCTAAACAATAAAACAATATCGAGACGTTCGTTACACCTTTTCTGGGACGCCCTGTATACACCGAAGCAATGTTCAATTGCGTTCCTAATTAAAAATAAAATATGTAGTAACATCGAGTCACTTACCATCTTGAAAAACCCGTTCGACGTTGAGACCGTAGGTTGCGCACGTTTCGTAATATGAGCATCTCTTCAGGTCTGTGGCGAGCTTTCTGGCACGGGCGTCGTCTATCACCCGAGGGTTGTTCTCGCTTATTGCGTCTGCAAAATAAATGAAAGAAAACCATTAAGATAACATCAGAACAGTTACGCTACACTGTTATGAAAAAGCAAAATATCGTTTAAACGTTCCATTATAATCGTCATTATCATCTAGCCGAACCCGGCAACTTTTAGTCCACTGCAAGGTACAAAGGACAGATGAAAAGCTCCAGTTAAATGGGGGTGCATTTTATATAAAGCGTGATATTCCTATTGTGAATTGTTGATGAAAAATGCAGTTGTGTACATTAACTAACATGCAGCGAAACTACATTTCTGTAGCAAAACATTCATATTGTTATGTGTAGATTAATTAAAAACTATCCACTATGTTAATTAATTACTAGATATGTAACAATTTAATGTATTATTAACATAAACATTAAGTAACGTATATGAAATCCTATGACATTGTTAGTTACTTAATAGTAAATTTATATGCAATATTAATTTGAAATCATTTTTTTTACAAACTACCTCAAATTAATGAGGGAAAAATTGTTGCTGTTGTCACACCACCCCCACCGGGAATCCAACCCGGGACTTTTGGCTTTACGCACCAGTTTGTAGTGGGTAAATAAAAAATCGAAAAAATGATTTCAAATTAATATTGCATATTAATCCACTATTAAGTAATTTCATTTTCGTTCATATATTTAATACAATTAAGTTAATAAAAATCGACGGATCGTTAACCTTGTAGGTCGGTTGGTCGTAGTTGTTGTTGTCACCTCTCGTAGTTTAGTGGTAGAACATTGGTGCGTAAAGCCAAAGGTCCCGGGTTCGATTCCCGGTGGGGGTGAGACAACAGCAACAATTTTTCTCTCATTAAATTGAGGTAGTTTATAGTGGGTAAATAAAAAATTGAAAAAATTATTTCAAATAAATATTAACTAACGTGTGGATTATTTCCAGACATTTGAAGAAATTCAATTTAAATACACAGCACAAATCTGTATTAATTCTAACAAATATTCTAAATGCGAATGTCCGTTTGTTTGTTTGTTACGATTTTACGTCTTAATTACTAAACTGATCATCATGAAATTTTGTACACACACTGCCAGCAGTACCGACATAGGGTATCCTTCATCTAGAAAAAAAATACTGATTCCGAGGGATAGAAATATTAGTTTTGTAGTCGTGGATGATGACACGACTTTGGGACATCAACACGAGCAATGCTGCGCGTAAAACCTATTACGAGATTTTGTCCACACGTTGTTAGGGATACAGAAAATGACATTGTGTACCTTTTTTCCCGGGGGATAGAAAAATTAGTTTTATGTGATCATCGATGATCATTGAATTGTACTTAGGGCATCAATGCGAGCAAACCTACCATGACACTAGGGTGCTTCAAACAAAATTTTTAATTTTTTTTTCTAACTCTAACCCCCTCAAATGTTTCTATTTGAAGTAAAAAAAAATCCTTGCCAAACATGAGCCCTATAGCTCAAATCTAAGGGGTCACTATTTTTATTTTAGTTTCCCATTTAATTAACAAATTTCATAACAAATTCTTTTTTGTTTTAAATTGAATTTACACGTAATTTACGCAATTTTTTCCAAAAAACCGTTTCATATTCTCAAAGTTGAGTCTTTGGACTTTACAAAACTCTAAGACAAAGTATGATTATCTTTACAAAAAGACTAGTTACAGTCATTTAAAAATTACTAAACTTTGAAATTTGAAAAAATAGCTTGCAATTATTATTTTTTGCATAATCCTCAAAATTTTTACTCAAACTATTAGTAAGTATTGTATTTTTATGTATTACAAATTTCAAAAAATTAGTTTTATGTGGTCGTGGATTATCTTTAATACGTATTTAGGACGTTAACGTGAGCGAAGCCGCGGGTAAAACCTATCATGAAATTTTGTACAACCATTGTCAGGGATGCAGTAAATAACAAAGGGTACCTTTTACCTATTAAAACAAACACTGATCCCGAGGGATAGAAAAATTAGTTTTATGTTGACACGTTGACACGTATTTAGGACATCAACGCGAGCGAAACCGCGGGTAAAACCTAGTATTGTATAAAGAGGTTTGGATGTAGGGAGTTATCGTCGAAACTACTCATACGATTACAAATATTCTTTCACCAGTATTTAGAATGAACATTAAATATTAACATAGGCTGTAAATTATTCCTTTAAAATGCAAGAGTCTCTCGTGGAGATCAATTCTGCAATGTAAGTACATAAACGCTGCTTTAAAACGGTAAGAGATATATGAAGAAGACTCTATAGATTTGTAAAGCTTGTAACAAGGTACTAGACGAGATATAATCTACATGTTAAAGTTAATTCACAAATTGATAAAATATGACTCCTACAGTTACAAACTAAATTCCACGCGAACGAAGCAGCGAGCCAGGTAGTGTTGATATAAAATTACATTATTTGCAACATATTTCATGTCCCTTAAGAATAAAGAAAAAAAAACAGCTTAACCTAGTTAGAAACCGCAGAAATGATACTAATATACACAGATGTATGCCAAACCATAAAATCTTAACCACACTACAAGAAAATGTGCGCTTTTAACAATTTCGTAGATAGTGTAACCTAAGATACGCTTTGACATGGTATCACCTTCGCAAGGTGCAGTGACTGCAACTTATTTAAGAAAACCACAAATAGGTTAAATATTAGAGAAACTTAGCGTAGAAATTTTTCTAAAGCTGTCGAGCTGTATTCTGTTCACTTTCAAGAAAGATCAAACCACACCAAACGTGAGTGCGTGATTTACCGAATAGTATGACAGCGAAGTCCTTATGGATCATGTTTACCGAAATCTTCTCAATGTATGTACTTAGAGTTTTGATCACTAGTAATGAGCGAAACAAGACAAAGACCAAAACTAATTTTCTTTACCAGATTGTAACACTAAATATATATAAAAAAAAAGAAACTTTACCATTAAAATAATTCGAAGTGGTCCGTATTCTGTCGAAACTGCCAGACGCGGATCGCGATTTCGATCTTTTCGGATCTCATCAGCGCGTCGCAGACAGCTCCGACAGAACACAGGCAACTTTTACCTGCTGTCTTAACAGTGCGTTTTAGAAAATATTACAAATGGCGCAGTAAACGCCATCTGTACCGTACAGACCACTTCGAGCGAGCTTGTCTTGACAGTTGAGAGAGTTATGAAAATCTGAGAACATACCCTTTCTCCAATGCATAAATTTACAATTCCTTTTGAATTAATTGACCTTTTAGCGAACAGAACAGCAGATACTTACAAAAGGTACTTGAAAGAAGTAAATAATATCGAAAAAAATTAGTTTGTCTCTATATTTCAACCATGTGTTATCCAGATATAAGAACAAAATGAACACTTACTCCGAGGACATTCTTGTAGAGTTCTTTTCTCAAACAGTACTAACGGTTTTTTTTTTATATTTAGTGTTAAAATCTAGTAAAGTAAATTGAAAAATTCAAATAATAATAATAATAAACGTAATAAACTATAGACATGTAGACAGTGGTCTCATCGCTTGATATTCATTGTTAAAACAAAATTGTAAAATTGTCGAACATATGTACATTTACTTTCAAAAAATTCTTTAAATTAATTTAAAAAATCAATAAAAACAGGTATACTTTTACTAGATAACGGTAAATTCGTCTGGTTTGATGTAACAAACTTGCTTTCTCTTGTACCACCAAGAGAAGTAATAAAAGTAAATATTATTAAACGCATTAGAATCAAATATAAAACAATTAATTATTATTGTATTTTTTCTAATGCTATTACGTAATCTGACAATAACTAATTAAAATTACTTTTGAGTGCTTACCTTGAGTTCCTACGAGTATCAGCGGTATCTCAGCAGAGTTCCTGTAGTGGGACATTTTCGTATAGTAGTTGTAGATGGCGTTGAAAGAGGACTCGTTTTCTAAACTAAAAACGAATATAACAGCATCCACCCACGCGGTGAACTGTAAAGAAAGAAAAAAAGTTTATCTTTCAGTAAAATTACGTTAGGAGAAAAGGAATTGTGTTTTCAACATGTAAACATCGCTGTGGAGGCTGATGCATTACGTCAGATGGACACACATATCCTTCTTGCTTTTGACAAGGATCAACGCAATTGTTTTCTATTAAGTACTCAGAATTATTTTAATTGAACGTATCTACTTATCGAAATTTATCTCCAATAGTTCTTTTTGCAAACATTTAGATAGAAAAAGTAGCCTATTATTGGCAGATAGATGGAAAGAATATTTAGAGAACGCAGGCCATGAGTTTAATATGTATGTATATATTAGAGAAGGAAGATATTATGGAGATAGGTGAGCTAGATTATTTCATAATGAGAGAAGAGTTTGATGCAGCAATAAAAAACTTGAAGATTAGATGGGATACAGGCGGAAATTCTAAAGCATTCAGGACAAAAGGTTACAGATTGTATGTTTAAGCAACTTTGTCACATTTACGAGACGGGGAAAGTCCCAGATAATTACAAACGGAACGTGGTAGTAACCATACATAAAAAGAGAGGCGCGGATAGGTGTGAGATATTTACAACAATTAGCTTAGCTTAGCTTCCCATGCATCAAAAATTTTAACTAGAATTGTACAGAGAAGGAAGGAAAAAAGGGCGGAAGAATTACTAGGGGAAGATCAACTTGAGTTTAGAAGAATTAGAGGAACGCGGAAGGCCATTCTAGCTTTACGGGTAACAATAGAGAAAACAATAGAAAAAGGAAAGGGGGCGTACATAGGATTTGTAGATTTAGAAAAAGCTTTTGATAATGTTAAATGGGACAAGATGTTAAATATACTTAAAAATGTAGGGATCAGTTACAGAGATAGAAGAGTGATACTTAGTTTGTATAAAGAGCAACAGGCAGTTGTGAAGCTGGAGCTGCAACGTAGAGAAGTAAATATTAAGGAGTCAGACAAGGATGCACATTGTCACCGCTACTTTTTAGGAAGAAGTTGGGAAAGAGCGAATATAAAGGAGACGAAAAATTAGAAGTGACTGATTTTAGGTATCTAGGAAAAGAAAAGGTTAGAAGCGTTCGAAATGTAGTGTTATAGGCGAATGATGAGGATACCGTAGATAGAGAAGGTTAGAAATGAAGAGGAATTAGATAGAATAGGAAAACAGGGGACTCTCTGGAAGTCAATAAGAAATAGGCGAGATAGGTTGGTAGAACACCTTCTCAGGCACGGAGGGCTAGTCAGAGCCATATTGGAGGCAGAAGCAGGAGTTAGGAAGAATAGGGGTAGACCTGGATTAGATTACTGCTAATAAATAGTTAATAATGTGGGATGTTCTAGTTTCAGGGAAATGCGAAGATTAGCTCAGGATTCGAAGGAGTGGAGGTGCGTGTCCAACCAGTCTTAAGACTGACGACCTTTTTACCTGTAAACACTTATAGAAAGGAAAATAGATGACGTATGAAAGTATAATTTGGCAATTACAAATAAAAATGGTTTGGAGTAGTGCTTGAAACGTAAAGGTTGTCTAATTTTATTAGGAAGAACTAAGGCAGTAGTTGACTGACTGTGTAATCAGAGTAATTCAAAAAATAATTGGGGTAGCCTGAAAGTCGCATTTCTCCAAATTTAAATCTGAGTATACCAGTCTTAATTTTATTTATAAGACTAAAGATGTAAAACAAAGGATAGCATAGGGTCCAGTGGCCTTTAACAAAAAGAAGTCACTTCTGTGCTAGCGAACGATTAATTTAGAAATTTGAACAAAATCGTTATTGGGTACGCTCTCCTCAATTAAAATAACGAAATCCATGTAGCAGTTCCGATTATACCGGAAGTTGACACCAGCTTCCTTATTTTAAATGGAACACCCTGTATATTATGCCGGTTTTGAATTACAATTATGATTTTAGGTAGACCTTTATAATGATTTTTTACTTCTAAAATTTACCGTTTTCGAGATAATAATTAAGTAATGATTGGTGAGCACAAGACACCCCGTATATAGCTGACTGTGAAATGTTAAAAGAAACGTCCATCTTTCGTTTTACACGACGAAGCGTGACCGTGCAACGACAAACTCTTCCACGCATGGTAAAGCATTTCATCGCGGTGTTACGCTTACGGAATTATCGCTCTACTCAATATTTTTTAAACGTACGTACTCGATCGTTTAAAAACCTTTATTAAAAATACTCGAGTCTAATATCAGTTAAACATTCCCTTAATCGTTTGTATTTCTACATTTTCAAGGTTCAATGCGGTTTCCTGATTCTTTACAAAAACATTATTATTTCAGCCCCTTCCTATTAGACCGTTGCAATGATACCTAATTTCATCTTAATTTTCCTTCCTTTCGAAGATTTGTATACCTACCAAGTTTACGCATTATGTCAAATATCATAGACGACCACAAAAATTTTTTTTATCCCTCGGAAACGGTTTTTCTTTTCAGGATAAAAGGTAACCTATGTCCTTTTCTGTATCCATGACAAAGTGTATACAAAATTTCAGGACGATGGGTTGAGTAGTTAAAGTGACAAATCGTAATAAACTTCAGTAAATGGATACATGTAGGTAATTATAAAATAACTAATTCATCGGTATTTAAAGAGGAAATTAGGATATTTTTGAGATTTAATAACGAGTTTTTTTTTAATAAAATGATATTTTGAATTTAATTATCTATAATAAATATTCGATTCTTATCTATGATTGTGTTATAGACAGAACGAAGATAAAGACAGGAGACGAAAAAAAAAAAAGAAGTCAGATAAGTCAGGACGGAAGGAGTAGTAGGGATATAAAGCAGAGGATAGCGCAGGGTCGAGTCGTCTTCAATAAAAAGAAGTCACTTTTATGCTCGCGAACAATTAATTTAGAAATTCGAAAAAGGTTGTTAAAGGTGTATGTTTGTCGCTGTACGGGTGCAAAACTTGGACAGTGAGCGCTGCGGAAAAGGAAAGGTTAGAAGCGTTCGAAATGTGGTGTTATAGGCGAATGACGACGATACCGTGGATAGAAAAAGTTAGAAATGAAGAGCTATGAGAAAGAATAGGAGAACAGGGGACTCTATGGAAATCAATAACAAATAGGCGAGATAGGTTGGTAGGACACCTTCTCAGGCATGAAGGTCTAGTTAGGTACATATTAGAGGCAGAAGCAGGAGTTAGGAGCAGTAGGTTGTTCTAGTTTTAGGGAAATGCGAAGATTAGCTCAGGATAAGAAAGAGTGGAGATGCGTGTCCAAGCAGTCTTCAATCGCCACTTTGACCGACTAAGACTTTCAAAAGCGCTAGCTACCACACGGACGTGTACTACAACGTTATTAGGATAGGGGTTAGGACTCCACACATATATGTATGCTCTAAGGATTTACTAGATTTGCGGGTAAAAAATATTAACGAACAATTTGACAGCACTGCCGGGAACATTTTGCGACGGGTGAGTAATAAAACATAAGACTTGCTCGCCATATCATTTGCAAGCAAGTTATCAGATAGAAACGTTATATGTAAACAGGTAAATAAGTAAAACAGCACCATCATGACAAACTACACTTTTGTATAGAACTTCTCGCATTACCTGAACGCAACATCCGTATAAAAGTTTTGTAATCGTTCCGCGATGTAGGTTGGCAATTACGTAACGACATGGTAAAGTAAAAGCCCTTTAAACTAGAAAAAAAAAAGTAAGAAACGCTTTGTTGCTCGTTGCACTGGAAAAGTTCAACACTAGAAGCTGCAGCAGTGTGAACTGTACATATTCATAATCAAGTAAAAGAACATCACAATAAATTAATTAGACGGTTAAAGCGTATAATCTTCGAGACACTTCTGGGTTTTCTAGGGTTAAATTCCATGTATTAGTGAATTAATTTTACTCATAACAGATAAAATTATTCATGAGAGAAATTTGTATTGGTTTGGGTCTTGCAGTCTTAGTCTTAGCCGAACAAGATAAAGACTAAAACCAAGAACGATGGATATGCAAGACAAAGACTAAATACGACAGACTAAACGAAAAATTATTTTGTACTAGCAGCGAAGCGTGGCATTGCTCGCCATGTTTACTGGTATATAAGGTATCCACTTTTTAACGTAGATAATATAGACTTCTATCTTAGATACCACCCTGTACCTTCATAAAATTTCTTAATAATAGTAGATCGTTCTAGAATATTCTAGAATATTTGGACAAAATCTAGAAAATTCTAGAAATCCTTGATAATTAACTGCGGATATTTGGAACTGTCCAAATCACTCCAGATATTTCTAAAACTTTTTGGAAAATTGCATATCGATTTTAACCGTTGCACACAATTTGGAACTTTCTAGATCATTCCAGAAATTTTTAGAACCTTCTAGAACATTCTAGATCGATTGTAACAGTTGCACACATTCTGGAGTTTTCTGGATCATTTCAGAAATTTTTAGAACTTTCCAAAAGGTCTCATAAGTTAGAAAAGGAAAGATATATATTTTTTCACATTTTCGCCACCCACNGAGAGGAATTGTATGGAAAAGGCCCCTTTGCATTTTCGGAAAAACTCGAAGTAAATTGAAAAATAGGGCCACTAAAAATTGACCCACGAGTTCGTGGCTTCAATCTACGTTAACGTTGAACTCAGTGATGAGCTAAATTGGTCTTGCTCATAGTCTTTAGTAGTAGTATTTTCACAAGATCAGTACCAAGACCGAACAAACAAAACCAAAACTAAAACCGAAAAAAAAAGACCAAGACCGAATATGCAATACCAAGATTAAATACACAAAATTAAACGAAAAATTATTACTTCCGGTGGATTTACGAGTTAAACTACAATATATGAAGCTACTTTAATATATTCTTTTCTTGGAACGAAACATTTTTAGTATTTGAAATTTTCAGTTTGCTTTAGTAGATTTTAACACTAAATATATAAAAAAAAAGTAAACTTTACCACTGTTTAAAGAAGAGGATCTACAAGAATGTCCATGTTCCTTGTTCCTATG